GCCTTGTGTCGCTGTGTGTCGCTGTGGAGGTGTTGTCGCTGTGTGTCACTGTGTGTCACTGTGGAGGTGTTGTCACTGTGTGTCGCTGTGTGTCACTGTGGAGGTGTTGTCATGGTGTGTCACTGTGGAGGTGTTGTTGCTGTGTGTCGCTGTGGAGGTGGGCTTTGAGGTCTTCTGTTTAAACTTCACTCAGTGTCTCAGTCCACTTTCTGTCTCTTGAGAGATGAAGGACTCTCAGCTACTTCTTTAGAATCATGTCTGTCTGCAAGCCACCATGCTTCCTGCCATGATAATGATGGACTGAACCTCTGAAACTGTAAGCGAGCCACCCCAATTCAATGTTTTCCCTTATAAGAGTTGCCATGGGGGTGGAGAGATGGCTCAGCGGTTAAGAGCACTGACTGCTCTTCCAGAGGTCCTGAGTTCAATTCCCAGCAACCACATGGTGGCTAACAACCATCTGCAATGAGATCTGGCGCCCTCTTCTGGTGTACAGGCATACATGGAGGCAGAACGTTGGATACATAATAAATAAAATCTTTAAAAAAAGAAAAAAGTTGCCATGGTCATGGTGTCTCTTCACGGCAATAGACAGCCTTAGACAAATGGCATCAAGACTGATATCCAGGGTAACATCTTTCTGGATTTCTTAGCCTCTGCGTATTGTGTCACAATAAATACGGCAGGCAGTTATCTCTGCTACTATTTCCCTTCCTTTGGTTATATCTCCAGAAATGGGATTGATGGATCATTTGGAAGATCCATTTTTAGGGGTGTGTATGTGTGTGTTCACATGTGTAGGTATAAATGTGTGAGTATGTGCACACACAAAGGGCACATTCATGCGGAGGACAAGTTGACATTGGAGTTCTTCCTCAGTGACTGTCCACTTGATTTACCGACACTGGGTCTTTTGCTAAACCTGCAGCTTTCAGACTGTTAGTCTAGATAACTTATTCCAAGGGTCTTGTGTCTGCAGCTTCTAAGCACTGGGATTATGGGGTGCCTACCCAGTTTTTTTAATGTGGGTGCTAAGGATCTGAACTGTAGTCCTTGTGTACCAGATCCATCTCCCAACCCTCATGTTTAGCGTCTTAAGGAGCCTCTACATACTGTTCTCCATAGTGGCCATACTCATTTACATCCTGTTAGTCAACACCCCAGCACTAGGACAGAACCCCTGAGAAAAGTCAACTCACAGAAGGAAATACAAGCCTGGGTCCATAGTCACTTGGTGTGTTGTTTCCACATCAAGCCTGGGAGTGCACAGAGGAACAATCCCTTTATTGTGAGGATCTCCGCAAGCTCTACTCCTGGGAGAGAAACAAGCCACTGAGGCGAGAAGGAAACTCAGTTCAGCATAAGTCTGACACCAGGCCAGATTGGTTTAGACATATTTAAGTACAGTACAATTTTGGAAAAATGTTTCCTGGTAGCTATTACTCCAATCCCATGTGCACAATAAACCTTAAGCCATGACTGCATCAAAACTCTTTAGCAACATACATGTGTCCTCGACCATGGAGATGGTGTCTGTATCTTAATGCTTAGAATCTGCCATGGTCTCTGATGGAGATAGTGTAGAAGTCAGCGGGCTATGACTTACATGTGATGTCTCCCCTAAGCACGGGTTCTGTTGACTGAAGCAAAGATGATGTAGGGAAGAAGGGTCTGGGGAAAAATAAACATTCTGGGGGATCTGGATGAGGCCTGGCCCTACAGATAGCAAAAGTCACCAGGAGATTAACAACATCCACCCCCAGCACTCTGGGTGGGAAACAGGTATACATGTCCTCCATTGAGGAGACAGCCCTGAGAGATTAACGTGCCTGGTTTCTCCAGTCCTTATCTGTGAGTACCTGTGCCCTCTATAGTGTAGCTCCTGGCAGACAGGAGGGGCCAAGGACAAAATATACCTTCAACAACATGCTCTCCAGTGGCCTGCTTCCTCCAGCTAGGTCCCTTTTCCTAAAACTTAAACACCTATCTTGGTCGGAATTTTGTCAACTTCGTACGAGCTAGGCTTACCTAGGGAAAGGGACCTCAACTGAGACAATCCCTCCATCAGTTGGCCTGTGGGCAAAGTTTGGGTCATTTTCTTGGTTAATGATTGATGTGTGAGGGTCCATATGGGTTGTGCCACCCCTGGGCAGATGAGAAAGAGAGCAGGCTGAGAGAGCCGTGGGGATCGAGCCAGTAAGCAGTGAGCTTTGGTGGCTTCTGCTTCAGTTCCTGCCTTAAGTCCCTGCATTGACTTCCTTTAAGGGAGAGTGACCCAGGATATGTAAAGCAAATAAGCCCTTTCCTTCCCCAAATTGCTTTTAGTTATAGTGTTCTATCATAGCAATAGAAACCAAAGAAAAAAAACTGGTACCAGGTTCATGGGATGTTACCGTAACAAACCTGACCATGGTGCTTGGGGGATGGTTGTGGAGCTTTGGGCTGGAAAAGCCGTTCCTCGAGTGCTGAACTTAATGGGCTATTGTAGGAATTTAGGAGATAATGCTGAGAGCAATGCAGATGATGGAGGCCTGGCTGGTGAAGTTTCAAAGGGAAGCACAGCACAAACTCAACAAGGGCCAATCAAGTGATCTCTTGAATTTAAAAAATCTGTGGTTCCGGTCAGCTGTGGTTGAAGAATCAGCCTTGGTCATAGTGTTTTATCATAGCAATAGAAACGTAACTAATACATATACCTAAATACATACACGTACATCTGACTACAGAGAAATTCAATTTTAGACCAATGATAGATATTGGGGTGCAGTGATATTTCATTTGTATTTTAATAAATAAAGCTTGCCTGAAGATCAGAGAATAAAACAGCCCTACTGGTCAGCCTTACAGACCAGGCAGTGGGGACCCACACCTTTAATCCCAGAAGTCACACTAGTTTGCCACAGAAACCAGGAGGTAGTGGTGCACGCCTTTAATCCAAGCACTGGAGAGGAATATAGGATGGGAGGAGGCAGCTCTCAGGCAATCTCATTCTGAGATTCCTGGAGGCAGGATCACCATTTCG